TATAAGATCCCACATTGGAAAGATTTGAGGACACTGGGAGGAGGAGAAACTTCTCGCGGGCTTTGCTTTTGCGTGTCCGTCAGCGCCCTGCACGCAGTCCACTTTCTTCAGGTGCCTCGGGGTTTGTTTTTTCTAGAAGCGAAAGGTGTAGTTCAAAGTCCGTTAGCGAGGGCACGCAAAGCAACGTCTGCGCCGGCTGAGAGAAAGGAAGTGGGAAGTGAACTTCTATTGGCGATGGTGTTGCTTTGCGTAAATGAGCCCGTACATCTGACATCGCCAGTAAATTCAGTCCTATTTCCGTGTCTCTGCACTTGCCGGTGCTTTTCTCAGGTTCAGACCGTGGGTTTCCTCAAACAGGGCCTTGCTGCGTCTCTGTACCGCTTCGAGCGCAGGAAGATGTTTGTCAAAACTTTTTCTGTGGCGTGTGAGCAGGGAGCAAACTCTTGAGTAGGGGAAATGCATGAATCCAACCTGCTGGCCCGCTGCCTTTAGAGAAATGGACTCTCGGGAGCCGCTTTCCCTGGCTTCATCCCTTCTCCTTGCTCCCCGTTAGCGCTGCTGGGTGAGTTGGGCTCCGCAGGGGCAGACTGCCTGGCCTCCTCCCTGTCCGTCTGGGTGCTTAAGCAGGAGAGGAGAGAGGAGACACCAGGCCCGCAGGAGCTGCCGTCCGTTCTGCTCTGGTTGCCATTGCTGGGAAGGCTCTGCTGCCCGGGTGGGTGGCAGAGAGCCCTCTCCGGGTTGCCTTTGTCCAGCAGCTTCGCTCCTGCCCCAGGACCCGCCCTCCTACCTGGCTGCCAGGTGAGCCAGCCTCTCCGAGTTGATCTGTTGTTTCTCTGCAGAGAAAGGGAAGGAAAAGTTTGGTTTGCAAGCTTAAAACAGAAACCCTGGCTCTAAAGATGCTTTACTTCTCCTTGGCAAGGAAGAGCCTTAATGCTCAGCAGCAGATGACGTCCCCATGGCACGACAGCTCGGCGAGCAGCTGTGAAAAAGCCCCACATGTGGCTCCCTTCTGCTTCTGTGTGTAGGAAACCTTACAGAGAAGGGCTGCTGTGCCCCTTTTTGGGGGGCTGGCTGTTATCCTCGTCAAGGTGCTTGGCATTGTACTCCCTAGGGAAGGACGAATGCTGTCCCTTGTTGTAGAAGTTGGGGAAACTGAGGCCAGAGGGCAAGAAGTACCTGCTGTCATGTAGCTTTTTGGACCAGCCCTCTGCACCACCTAGCTGTGAAAGGTCTCCTCCCCATCATGAGACGCCAGATCCCACTGGGCTGAACAGGCCGTTCCCAGCTCGTTTGGGTGCGATGTGTAACTGCTGCTGTTAGACCAGGATCTCCCAGCTCCGAGGTGGTTTGCCTAAGTGACTCCTTCCACGTCAGGATAAAGTTATAGAGCACCGGGCTCAAAGCAGTTGTCCTGCATAGTCTGCCGGATAAATTGTCCTAGCGGTTTAAATGAAATGTGTGGTTTTGCTGCTGGGACTGTTAATTTAGAGCCAGACTGTTACCTGCAAAACTGCAGGGAACACCTTCTTGTCTTTAAAAAGACAATAATTTCACGTCCTAAATCTCTCTCTCTCTGCTGGGAAGGTGACAAATGCTAACCCCAGGGCAGGGCTTTGGGCAAAGTTCAGGTGTGAATCTGGGCCTGGGCTTCCCTTCCGAGCTGGCTCGGGGCAGCGGCGGCGAAGCGCTCTGCCAGCGGTGGGTTGGCAGGGCCGGTGCCCGCATCCTGTCTTTGCTCAGCACCTTGTGCGAGGGGCCTGGGCAGGCGTGGTTGTGGTTCTAATAACACACCGGCACGCCGTGCGTTATCAGGCGGCAGGGAGGGCCCTGAAACCAAACCCGCCTGTGTACCTGCAGCTCGGTTCCACCTCTGCTTGCCTGCAAACTATTTAAGTAGCTTTTCCTGAAGGCTGTACACCGGGGCTGGGCGCAGGAGCTGCAGGGATCACCTGCCACCGCGCTGCGTCGAGGAGGTGAGTCCTGGCTTCTGGCTTGCTTTCATCCTGGCTCCTGCAAGCCTCCCAAATCTTCCTTTTCCATCCCTCTGCCCCTGTCCTTACAGATCAACAGTTCGGGTGATTTTCCTAATCTGTGCTAGCATTTCTTTCCAGCTAAGCCAATCCGTCTCTGTGAACAAAATAAAAAGAAGTAATTGGTGGGTACGGAGACAAAATGCAGTTTAAACAGAAAATCATAATCTCTTGCAACTGTGGCTACAACTTGATTGCTGTTGAAAACTTCGCATCTCTGGCTGTGTATGAGTATTGCCTCTGGGTATGCTGGGGTTTATTTTTTGTTAAAGCCCTCTGAGAGTGTGGAAGGGGGAAGAGACAGATCTTCTCTTGCCTACTGATAAGAAATTCAACTGAAATTCTCAGGCAGTTGGGGTACCATACAGTACACATTACTGTACAGTAAAGATTCCTGCTTCCTCCCCAGTGCTAGAGATGCCACTGTGATAAAAAGAAAAAAAAAAAAAATTTGTCTCTCTGCATGTGAGATGTCTTTTATTTGGGGTTTGCCTTGGGATAAGTCCCCCTCTGTAAGCCCTCCAGACCCTGGACTACATTGCAGCCCCCTTCCAGGTCTAGCTCAGAGTGATGGTGGCTCAGTTAATTTTGGCTTGTGAGTCTGCTCGCTAACAGCACCGAGGCTTGTGCTGCTGGGGCTGGAGGGCTGCAGCTTAAATTCCTATCCCAAGGCTGTCAGCCAGCTGGGCACCCATCATAAACGAACAAGGCTGAGACATCCTGTGTCTAGCCCACATCTAAGAAAGGTGGTTGCTGCCCCCAATCGCTTCCTTGCAGATAGAGTGCATCTGAAGTAATGCTGAGCATATCTGGGGCCTCCAAGTATTCCTTTGAAGCCACATCTACTGATTAAAGGAAAGCTGTTGCTGTTCCCCCTCTGAGCCGTTAGCTTGCTATTTGACCTTGGGCAAGTCATTTAAATGTTCACAGTTGTTAAAAGGAGCTATCTTTTGTGACAGTCGAGGTCTAAGTGAGTGTGGAGGGGGAAGGTGAGGGATCCTGGAAGGAAAATAATCAGTATTTATTGTGTGTAATTGGCAGCCTGTCAAATCCTCAGCTCCGGAGTGATGCCTCTTGCAGGGGCAAGAGCTGGAGAGCGATGCTTGCGTCTTTGTAAAAAAACTCATCGCCACACTTCCAGCCTCACCCGGTCATCTCCGTGTGGGTTACTTGGCTGATGGCAAGAGGAGAAGAAAGAAAAAAGGGAGAATGCAGACACTGTCCCAACCGTACCGGTCTGCTAACACTTGTGCAGTGATGGAGGGCGAGTGCATGTGCTCCGTGAAGTTAGGGAACACTGATTTGCGCTACGTTGGGTGAGAACGTGGAGTTTTAGCTCTGCCCAGTGCCGCTGTGGGGAGGCTCTGGTCCAGCGCGCTGCTGGTACGGCGGCTCCTCCTGCACACACAGTTTGCATCCCGCTCGGCCCTTGGCTAGCAGCCGTTCCAGCTCTGCGAGGTCTGACCAAGCGTGGCCTCCAGCACTGGTTGCCTCAGCCTGCTGAGGAGGGAGGCGAGTGTTGGCCTGGAGATGTTCCCTGTGGGAGTCTATTCCTCTCCCCTGTAATCAAGGCAAAGAATTCAGAGGGGGCCCGGGCTGCCGAACTGGATTTTTACCTCATTTCTTCTGATGGGTTCACTCTCTGCGGCTAAGGAAGGGAAACCGTACCAGCTAGCTGCTCTGGCATGGAGGGGGTGTACGGGCAGGCAGGTACGCAGTGACAGCTTCCCCGCAGCCAGGGAGGGAGCAAGCAGAGATAAACTCTTCCACCTGCATGTCTCACATTCTGTTCAGCCTCCTTCACCCAAAGGGCCCAAAGCATTTGGGGGCTGTGCTGTGGTGGGACAGGAGGCAGAAGCTTCTGTGCAAATTGGGAGCACGCTGCACAGTCCAGAAATGGGTGATCAGCTGAAGCGCGTTCAGGCCAGCGGGATCTGTTACGCCTTGTCGCCATGGAGAAGCATGGTGGTGGCTCATTTAGGGTGAGAAGTTAGCTCATGTGAGTCCTGAGAATTAACCTGCAGTTTGTTTTACTCCTAAGTCAATGCTTGTGCAGGAGCTTAATGTCACCCTGCTTTCTAACCTGTTCTGGCTTGCCCAGCGTAACTACAGACCATCTTCCTGAGATGCTTTTAGGAAAAAGTAGCTTGGTGGACCAGCCTGGACTAACCTTGCAGGGTTTCTTACATTTGTAGACTGATATAGCGGCAGGCTCGTAACAGGTTACTAAGAGGCATCTGCTTACTTTTGCCTTAGCTGCTTAGCCCCTGTCCTGATCTGGTGGCCTCTCCCCTCTAAAGAAGGCTGGAGAGAGGGAGCATGTTACAGGGCAAATAAATGACTCAGACTAATGAGTAAGGTAATTGCTGTTCACTGTTAGATGAGGCTAAAGTGGGTCAGGTTTGTTTGTGAAACTCCACGGAGGCACCATCTGTTCTCTGTGCCCTGTCTCAGGGGCTGGAGGCAGGATTTGGGTGAAACTGCTTCTCTGGGAGCCTGTGGAGCAGCACAGAGGATGCCCCGGTCGTTAGGCAGTGGTGTGGGTCTCTGGAGATGACCCCGTGTGCTGCCCTGATCCTCAAAGGGGACTCATAATTGATTTCACTGGGAGAGGGGACCCTAAATCCTTTGTCCCTCTGCTACAACTGCCCATCTCTAAGATGGGGCTGGACAGGACACTGAGAGGTCATTAGGTCTCCCTTAGCCTGAAGGTGGGATTGGATTTTCCCAAACCATGTCCGACAAGCGCCTGTCTCACCTGCCACAAGCCCTTGGAGAGAAACCTGGCACCAATGTAGCTTTCAACTCTGCCGGCTCTCCCAGATGTCCTCTCTTCATCCTCCCATGCCTGCAAGCCTGTTGGGATGGGGACTGTCTTTTTCAGCGCTGACATGTCTGTGTGGTACCTGGTTTTAGCCCTTTCCCCTGCCCTGCACCCCGCTGTGTCTAACGAGCTCTCTCTTCTCCCAGACCACAGCGTGTGAGCAGAAGGGGAAGCCTGGAGTGGGATCCCTGCCTGCCTACGCCTGGACTCGACATTGCTGGGGCCACATCTTGCAGTAAAAGGAAGAGGAAAAGACGATTCATTCACCGTTGCTAAAAATGGGAGACAGCATCTGTCCAGCAGACCAGGAAGGGAAGTTCCAGACCTTGCCTGTGGGGCATCCCTGGGAGCGCTGCAGCCGGAGCACCGCAGCCCTCTGTCAGTAAGGGGTGCCGGGGCGGCATGGCTCAGGGAGCCTGGGTCAGCATGCTCTTCCACAACCGCAAGACCCAGCTCCTGCTGGTCAACTCCTTGACGTTTGGCCTGGAGGTCTGCCTGGCTGCAGGGATAACCTACGTGCCTCCGCTGCTGCTGGAAGTGGGTGTGGAGGAGAAGTTCATGACCATGGTTTTGGGTAGGTGGTTTTTTTTTCCTCATCTTTGAGGTGCTTGTTTCCCCTTCCAAGTCTGGAGAACAAGGGCAAATAAGGGCATGGAGGTTTGTCTCTGTGGGGCGGTTGCAGGGCTGCTGTTAAATCAAGGGCAGTTTGGAGGAGAGGGCTGTGACCTGGTGAAGCTTACCGAGTTCCTGAAACATCCCATGCTTTTGGTACAGTGCACGCAGACCAGTGCCCTCCAGATCTGTCCCCTAACGCCACCTCTTTCTCTTTTTGCAGGGATAGGACCTGTCCTTGGCTTGGTTTTTGTCCCACTGATCGGATCTGCCAGCGACCACTGGCACAGCAGCTATGGCCGAAGGCGCCCTTTCATCTGGATGCTTTGCCTGGGAGTCCTGCTGAGCCTCTTCGTGATCCCACATGCCAGCAGCCTGGCCAGCCTGTTTGCCCTCAACACTCGCCCGCTGGAGATTGCCTTCCTCATCCTGGGCATTGGGTTACTGGATTTCTGCGGCCAGGTCTGCTTCACTCCGCTGGAGGCCCTGCTCTCAGACCTCTTCCAGGAGCCAGACAACTGCCGCCAGGCCTTCTCCCTGTACGCCTTCATGATCAGCTTGGGGGGCTGCATTGGCTACCTGCTTCCAGCCATTGACTGGGGTGGCAGCTTTCTGGCCCCGTACCTGGGAGGGCAGGAGACGTGCCTCTTCAGCCTCCTTGCCATCATTTTCCTCGGCTGTGTGCTGGCCACGCTTTTTGTGACAGAGGAGGCAGCCACCCAGGCAGACGTTCTGGATGGCCCAGCGCTGAAGGATGCTCCCCCTAAGCCCTCGCCTCCTGCCTGCTGCCCTTGCCAGCTCTCCAGGAGCTCATGTCTCCTGCAGGCCAGGCACATGGCGCAGGCCCTGAGAAACCTCTGCACGCTGGTGCCACGGCTTCACAGCCTCTACTGCCGCATCCCCAAGGTCATCCGGCGCCTGTTCGTGGCCGAGCTCTGCAGCTGGATGGCACTCATGACTTTCATGCTGTTCTACACAGACTTTGTTGGGGAAGGGCTCTACCATGGCATCCCCAGAGCCAAGCCAGGCACAGATGCCAGACGCCACTACGATGAAGGTGAGCGGTGAACCAGCTCCTCTGAGGCTGCAGCACCTGATCCCTAGGACAGGGGCATTTAGTGGGAGCAAGGAATGGGCTCAGCTCTGCCAGTAACGCGAAAAAAGGTTATGGGAAACTAGACTTGCTGCAGATGGGTCGGGAAAAAACATTCTATGGCCCCCAGAGCATTGCACAGTGGGCCAAATAGAGAAACGCCTCTTTGTCCTCCGAGCTACCCAGCACAGAACCAGATCTGGCAGCGCAGTCCTGGCCTGGGGCTGGATTGTTAAGTGGCAGAATGGTCTGGCAGGTTGCACACTGAACAGGACGTATCTGGCTCAGTCTGCAGGCTGTGGTTGCCACTGCCAGGTTCCTTTCACTGCTCTTACCTCCTTTTTAAATGAGGGGTGATGGTGCTCCCCGTCTCTTGGAGAGCAGGGGTTGGAAAGCCAGGACATGCTGCGTAGCAGTGAGGTGGGCTTTGCATCTTCTTTCATGCTACTATGAGATTCCCATCTCACATTTGCATCTTGGGGAGCCCTCGAGCAGCTTCCCCAGTTCTCACCCTTCTCTCCAGTGCTTTGTGATAGTGCTCACCACTGCAGTCAGTAGCTGCCACGTCCACATCGTGGGATACTGCCCACTGCAGCATGTTACCTGCTTACTGTCGTTGGCCTGCTGTCCCATTTTGCCTGCTGTGGTGTGCCAGAGTCTTGACTCGCTGCCCAGCCCTTCTTTTCCTCTCCCCAATCTAAAGTCTTTTATTCTTGGAGGCACCTCCCTGGGCCTCCTCTTCCAGCTGTATATCTTTCCCTCTGAGTTTTCCAGTCACTGCCTCCGTGAGCTCTGCAGTACACTGCCTCTTTGTGCTGAGTGTCTGTTTAACTTGGAGATTAATTATTATTTAACACTTGCACTGTGTAGCTTCCAGCAGGTCAGGACTCCATTGTGCTAGCTGTTACAGAAACAGGTGTTGAGTAATGATCCTCGCTTCAAAGAGTTAATGGTTTTAATTCCCTGAAATCTGATAGATCTTTGCAAGGGGTAAGATCCGGATTGCTGCCGGATACTGCAGTCATTTAGTGGATGTCGTGTATTTTACCTTGGCTTAAGCACAATTCCTTGTTCCTTTTGTTCTGTTGCTGGTTTTGGCATCAGATCAGAACACATCCTCTCATGAGCAGGTGACAGATCCTGGGTCAAGAGTAGGAAGGTGCAAACAACGAACAACGACTTCCAAAGACAAGAATGGCATTTGGATTCCTATCTCCCATTGCCCCTTTAGTTCGGCTGGGATCCCCGGGAGCACGTGTAGGAAATACTCACTGCTGGTGGAGGGTGGGTGCTGGCAATCTGGCTGGTGCAGCCCTGGGGTACGTTACATGGTGCTGCTCTGCTTCCCGACCCAGCCATGCGGCTGTCAGGGCTGTTTGTGGCTCTGCCACGCTCTGGGCGGGCTGTACTGCGGTGGGCACTGAAGGAGAGGGAAGGAGGCCCGAAGGTGTTCGGCTGCATGAAGCCTGGGTGCAGCCAGGGCAGTGTCTGTCACCACCTCTGCTTACCTGCAGGTGTCCGGATGGGTAGTTTGGGCCTCTTCCTGCAATGCGTCACATCCATCTTCTTTTCGACAATCATGGACCGGATGGTGAAGCACTTTGGGACACGGGCAGTCTACCTGGCCAGCGTGGTGTTCTTCCCCGTGGCTGCCTTCGTCATGTGCCTTTCCCACAGCGTCATCGTTGTTACCATCTCAGCTGCTCTGACGGGCTTCACCTTCTCTGCACTCCAGATCCTGCCATACACACTGGCATCACTATATCATCATGAAAAACAGGTAGGGATCTGCTCCAGAGGACAACGCGCCAGCTGGCTGTGAGGACAGCTTGGCCAGCCTCTTTTGCTGCTTGTAGCTTGTACAGTCAGTTCAGCCCATGGAAGAGAAAGACGTGCCTGTGTACAAAAGTTCTCCACATGGTGCCTCTTGTCTCCAGGCTGTGTCTTCTCTGAAGATTCATCTGAAATGCAGGAGATAAGAGAGTTTAGCATCTCCTTCCTTAGGCATCCCCTGCTCACAGCAAGCATTGTGCAATTTTGAAAAGTGGAGAGTGGGGTAAGATGGGAGAAACCATCTAGGACTGATCTATCAAAAGGGATGTCCTGTGTTCCTCTGTGTTCTGCATATTTTTAGGGAAAGCGCTGCAGGTTAGTTATACCTGTGTGCATTCTGCAGCCAAGTCACATCTGCAGCACTGCCAACCTGAGGTGCTAAAACACTCAAGAATTTTCAGCCCTTAGAGGTCCTGCTTTTTCCAATTTTTGTCCATAGCATGAAGATCAGTAAAATGAAAACTGAGGTTCTTCCTGTTCCCCTAGCTCCAAGAAAAATAAACATTGTGAAACTTTTGACACCAACAGAAAAGCTAGTAATCCTGCCCCACAGATGTTATCTTTGTGGAGAAGTCCTACGAGGTTCCTGAGTTGCGCACTGGATTAATAGGAGTTTCTCTTGTGCTGCAAATGCAGAATTAATTTGTGGTTTGAGAGCAGCTCTTTCATCCCAATGGCAGGCGGTTTACTGTGCAGTGAAATAAGTAGGAGTTTTTACCACAGGCATCCAGATGTTCACATTGAACAAATACTTCTGACCAACCCATCCCAATTTGTACCAGGGCACTCCGTCAAAATAGGGGTATGAGGGAGGGTTCTGCTTTGCAGAAACTTCAGTTTGGTTGGGATCTCCCAGGGACATCATCTCAACTGGATGAAAACCAAACTTCCCAGGCTGGGGATGTGAAGGCCGAAGCTTGACAGAGAAACACTCTTAGGGCAATGAGGTGTGGGGTATAGCTGGCTTTGGTCTTTCTGTTGCCCGAACTTGAAAGTTCCTCCTTGCTTTACCAACTACTTTGCAGCAGGCCCTAAAACGCCTTTTGCAGAAAATTCTACGTCTTCCCCATTTCTCTTCTCTTCTTTTTTCTTACTGTTGAAATCTGTCATCATTTTTGTTTTCCTTCCCTCCTTCCTGCTTGCTCTCTTCTCTCTCTTTTTTTTTTTTTTTACTTTTTAACTTTAAACACTCCTCCTGAAGCGAATCAGCAGAAGGGGCATCCAAGGTGCCTGTTGCTTCCATGCTGTGCAGGACCATTGGTGAAAGCCTGCAAGGCCACCTCAGCTGGAGCTCCGTGCTTTGCACAGGCTGTGTAAGCCACTCTGTTCTCCTGCATGCCTCCTGATCTTCACATGGCCACTAAACCTTGTCTAAAACAGGAGGAAAAGATTTGCATGTTCTAACAGCACCTGAAAGCTTGGCAGAGGTGAGATGTATGGTGGGCATTCACACCTTCTGCGGGAGTTTAGGGAGAGCTAGATTCCTCATTCCCACCGCTCCCCATCAACTACAGAGGGAGATGAAGCTGGTAATTGAGGCTGGTAATTGAGGTGACTCCTGTGGTTGCATCCTGTGTTACAAGGGGTGGGTTTAAAGCGTTTAGTTCTCGCTAAGCTCATGCCTGTGAGAATTGATCTCTAGATTAATTCTTTGCACGAGGTATTCAAACACCCCTGCCAGAAGTCATCTCTCTGAAGTCCTAGCCTGGGTCAGTATAGAAACGGAGAATACACGGCATGGGCCTTCAGGGCAGCTGAGCAGCCTTCTGGAAACGTCAGTGTCAAGTATGAAGGGCTGGAACTGTGTGGGACATCCTGGTTTGGCTTGCGTGATGCCCCTTCTGTGCTGGGTTTTGAGTTCCTTTGAAGTCTGATGGCAGTAGGAGGCATGTGGGAGGATTTTTAAGCTCCACATAAGATAAGTGACGGTCCCAGATTGATGCATTTAAGCATAAATTCATGAGCCTAGGCAGAACTGAGGAGTTGAAGGGTATCGTGAGCAGCTGAGCAGAGCCCAGGTAAAGCTTTTGGAAGGTGATTGCTATTTAGTGAAGTTCTTCTCATCTGGTTTCTCTTCTCTGATTGAATCTGAAACTGTTTGTGCTACAGATCTGCAGCTGTGGCCTGGGGCAGCGTGAACAGAGAGTGGCTGGTGCTGACATACGCTAGGGCAGGGCTGGGCGTAGCTGTGTGGGTGCCAAGGCTGCTGTAAGCTTTGGGATGGCCTGCAACAGAGCTGCGGTGCCCGCACTCCTGCACCAGTGGTTCCCTCCTCTTCATCTGTGTCTGGGTCCCTCCTGCAAAAGGAAGGGAAGCCCCTCGGAGCCCTGCAGCTGGGTACAGTGCTCTCTGCTCTCAGGTGCTATTTTTTCCTTTTTATTTTCTTTGTTTGTTCAGTCCCACTGTGCTGATAATGCATTAACATGTCCTTCGTTATCTGCTCTACCCCGGGCAGACCAGCGGTTGTGCGTAATTGCAAATGCCCTGGAGTTTTAAAAGCTTGAGCTCTGCAGCATTTTCACTGTCTGCACGTGACTGCCCGTTATTTGTTGGCGTTAACATGGAGAGCTTTTTGATCCAAACACTCTGTGCAAATACCGCTGAAGTGAGCCATGCCCCAGAGATCTCACAGGTTGAGCAGAGCGGGGCAAAAAGGGGTGAGAAGAAAAAGATTTTTCTTCCCCCCGCCCCCCTTTTCTTAGCCTGAGTGAGGAGGCTCGGGTCAGGCAGATGAAGCAACTCTGTGGAGGTCATGCATGCACGGTCTGTTGCAGAGCTGAGGAAAGAGCTCTTTCCTGAGTTCCCAGCACTGTGCCACCTCAGCTGGTGTCACTTTTAAGTACCCCAGATAATGAGAAGTGGCCATGCATCCAGGGCTCTGAACTCTTTGCCTGCCCTTTGGGCTCTTCTGCAGGAAGGTTTTGGGTTCCTAGCCAGCCACTTTGTAAGCACTCCTGTTCGGACTGGGGAGCACTGGCTCTGTGGTACGTCCAGAGTGGGCTCTGGCCCTTCACTCCCGTCCTGCAAGCGTGCATCAGCTGTAGCTGGTGCTCGGATTCCTTTGGCACCCAGTGAGGAGATGACAACCCATGGGTCAGCGCAAAATGTCCCCAAGTGCAGAGCCTGGGCTGGCTTTGGGCTGCAGCACTCTGCTGAGCCCCAGAGCTTCAACACAACAAAGGCAGCGCTTGGCCAGATTCCCCTGGTGAGTCAGGGTTGCTTTGAATCTCGTGCCAGTCGGGAAGAGCCAGGCTGGCTCCTGGAGGCCATCTCACGTGGGCCAGGCTCACTCCAGGCACTCCCCACCTCTAACAGCCTGACCCAATGCACACAAAGCACAGAGTGCTTTTGCTCTCTTGCACAAAAAACAGGGCCCCCTCTGTCCCCCACCTCTCTTGCTGGGCTCCACCATACCTACTCATTCCTCATATGCCCTCCTTCTTTCCCCTAGGTATTTTTGCATAAATATAAGAGCAAAGAGGAGGAAGACGCGGCTCGATTGGACAAGAAGTCAGCCTTCTTTAGAGAAGGCCACCTTTCCAGCCAGAAGCTGCCTTACCAGAATGGACATGCTGGGAGCCTCTTCTCTTCTTCCTCTTCCTCCTCCTCCTCTCCTCCATCCACCAGCTCGGCTCTGTGCGTCAGCTCCTCCTGCGACGTCTCGCTCATGATGATGGTGGGAGAACCGGACTCGGTGGCTCCTGGCCGAGGGATCTGCCTGGACCTGGCTATTTTGGACAGTGCTTTCCTCCTCTCTCAGGTTGTCCCCTCCCTCTTCATGGGGTCCATTGTCCAGTTTACGCAGTCAGTGACTGCCTACATGGTGTCAGCTGCTGCCTTTGGCCTGGTAGCCATTTACTTTGCAACCAAAGTTGTCTTTGATAAGAGTGACATGGTGAAGTATTCCGTGTGATGTGCAAGGCGCAAGGGCAGCACGCAGGTGCCTGCGCGTGGTACAATAAGGGGAGGGGGGCAGTTCACATGGCCACTTGTGGGGTGCCTCGTGTGGCTGCTGCTCTCCCCATGCTGTCGCTGTAGCCCTGGGGGGTAGTTCTGGGGCTGGGGGCAGGAGACATGCAACAGGGCTAATCTCAGGTGTAAATATGAGGCATCGGGGCATTGTGCCTCGGGCCAGCAGTGCTTTCCAAAGGTGCCTTTATCAAAAGAAAGCACTGCACAGCCAGCACCAAAGGGGGTTGTATAGGGGAGAAAAAGGAAATGGGCTTTTCCTTTAATTAACGGGTCATGTTTCTGAGCAGGAGAGGCAGTGGTACGGGGAGGAAAGGAATCACTGGCTCTCCTGTGTTCCAGTTACAGCTATATCCTCTTCCCCTGCTTGTTGTAGTTTTACTCAACTTCTTGAGCAATACTTCTGCAAATAGGACACTGGGAGGAGATTTCCTCGGGGAAAAAAAAAGATGGGTGGCTAAGGTTTGGCCATGGAGTAAAGGGGGTGCATATGTGTGTGTGCACGCTTCCGTCCTTCCCCACCTCTGTTCTGACTGGGAAAAACCATTTAGGAGAAAAGTTACTATGTCTTGTTTTGGAAAAACAAGTAACGTTTCATTAGGACCAATTCCAAAAGGTGACTTATCTTTTACCTATGTACCAAGTTGCATCAGATGGAAAGGACTTCTTAACTTTTTTTTTTTTAAATGATTGTTTTTAGCTTTCCTCACACACTTCTCTGTAACTCTGACCTCTCACTCCTCAGCGCTTAGAACTGCTGCCTGCTCTCTCCCCTGACAGATCTAGACTGTTGTGCCTCCTCCTCACCTGGCCCCTAAAAGATGCTGCCATATCACAGGAAGATCTGTTCTCAGGAGGGTTTCAGTCCCATGACAATGAAGTTAGAACAGGGAGTGCTCTCCTGGAGGGCTGCCTGAGAACCAGCGTACCAGGCCTGAGGAAGCTGGAGGAATTGCCTGTCTGCTGACAGCCAGTTGAACTCAGCAGCAGTCACTGCTGTAGGTGGTACCTGGAGTTGGTCGCTGGCTATGTTGTGTTCCCCCCAAAGACGTGTCCCCAAAGCAGCCTTCTAGACCAGACTGTTCTTCCCAGACAGAAAAGCTTTCGGCTGTGCTTGCTGGGCAGGGGTACACCTTGCAGAGCACGCTGCATCCCAGGACCCAGCACGGTGGCTGAGCTAACACGTTGCCAGCACACCCAGAGAGGCTGCTGGAAACAGCATCGTGAACGGGAGGTGGGTAGGGTGAAATGTGCCTACGGCTGCTTACAGAGCAGGGTAAGCCTGGTTCTTGGTGTGTCAGACAAAAGGAGGAGGACAGAGACTCTCTTGTACCTGTGGTTTGCTGATCCAGATTACATACATACTATGTTATACTTGTTTGGGCTTTTTAAATTCTATTTTATTCCCAGACAGGAGTCAAGATTCTTATTGAGGCACAGTACAAATGCAGTTACCTCTTAGAGTCAGGCCCCATAGCACTGGGAGCAAATGCTCCTGGTTTGTTCGGGCTGTGTAGCTCCCAGGTGCAAGTCATCTTCCACTGGCAGAAGAGTGGCTGCAGCTGTGTGTCCTTCTGGCCCATCCCATTCCCAGTACAAGTGGACCAGCTGGGATAATTCCGCTAGTGGCAGATTCCAACACTTGAAGACTTATCCGTATACCAAGTAGGGGTCGAGGTCCCAGACCGCAGACAGCACTTAGACTTTGAAATGATCCAAACTCTGCCTACAGTGCGTAGAGGAAAGCATGAATCGGTCTTTTGGAGGCTGGGCTGTGAGTATGCAGAAGTTCAACGGTCCTTAACTTTGGCTGGTCTAAACAAAGTGTTTGTGACTAATTTTCTGCGGAGGTGTGTGGGCAGTGAGATGCACTGGTGAGGTTCGGCTGAAGGGCAGAATGTTGCTATTTTTGCAAGGTCTTGTCAGACTGTTCCTTGGTATGGATGCAAAGTTACTCCCCTGCTGTCTGCAGACGGGTCCTGAGAAGGCTTCTCCGAAGTTTTTTAAACATGTATTTCCCGTAAAGGGTGACTGTTTTTGTTTTATTTCTTCTTAAATTATATGCCTACCAGCTTCCCTTTCCCACAAGAAGGCTTGTGTGCTGAAATGCAGCTGTTTTGGGGATGCATTTGGCAGCTGCTAAACCACCTATGGAAACAGTTTTTTGTCTGTACTTCCTACCCTGGTCTCTGTCCACTTCAGGCTTCAGGAGGAAGTCTTTGAGGCGAAATGTTATTGCCAGAGGTGGGGTGTTTCTTGGATGAATGCTCCTAGTAATCGGTAACCTCTGACCCTAGATTTTTCCAACAGGTTCCTACCTGCGTGCTGAAGTATCCTTTATTTTTATTTTTTCTTACGTAAAATGCGGGGAACCTTCACACTTGGAGGCTGCTACGATGCTAAGTGCTTTTGATAACTGAGCCCTTTGTGTAAGTGCCTAAAGAGTCCTTCTGCACCAAACTTCAGGTGTACGGGTTTGATGATAAAGGCCTTGAATGCTTCATTACAGACATTGAAGTGATCCTTGAAAAAGCAGCAGGCTGGAGGGGGAGGCAGCCTTGGTTTATAATGTCCTTCGGTTTGGAATGTGAAAGATGCTGCAGTTCTTGATCCGTAACTTGCACCTGTCCCTCAAGAGGAGAAGGCTGAAGCCGGCCAGGTTCCCCGACTGACCTGCCCTCCGTCTGCTGAGCTGCCTTTGGTGCAGCTACAGCCTGGCTGTAGCTGGTGGACATGAGTAGGTCTGGGCTGACGGCACGGGCAGCAGGCTCTGTGCCTTGGCAGAGCTGGAGGGCTTGGGATTAGTGCAGGTCGGGGCTCAGACCTGTCCTTCATGGACAGATCAAGCATGCCTTCGGCCTCCCTGTTCTCCCATCCCCTTCACTGCACTGGGTCACGGACTTGGCACCCAAATCTCCTCAGCAAGTCTGGTGTCTGCATCCAGTGCACTGGCTCTGGTCTCACTGGTCCTAGGAGAGGGCAGGCTGGGTTTGTCCCGTTTTCTCATAATTCAGATAGGCTTCCAGGGAGGGGCCTGCGTTTACTTCGTTGATGTTCAGAAAAGACCACTGGGTGACTGAACTTGGGAGTCTGCAGCCGGCTGCTCTCGCTCTTTGCTGCTGCATCCCAGACGGGCGCCCACCATCCTGCTTTGGCCTGAGCTGTGACGGGATGGGTAACAGAGCTCATTCTCCATTCCAGCTGGAGAGACACCAGCCAGTCTGACCCAGGGGCTCCTTACCCGCTTCTCTGGCTGCACTGCTCTTGTTTTAGCCGGTTCATCAAGGACAAGAGCGCTACTTGATTATCCACTAAGAGACACTTTGGTATCTCCCCTCCCTCTGGCACCCTTCTTCCCAGTTCTCCAGCTGGAGTGAAACCCAGCAAACTCAGTAATTGCTCCTTTCTTCTTATCCCCTGTTACACCACGAGAGGTCTGCGGGGCGCTCTGCCAGCTACTGACACAGTGGGCAGATGGGTGCGGGAAGGAGAACTTGCCAAGACCAAACTAACCCTGTCCCCCATGGGAGTTCAAGCCCAAACAGATTCGGGCCATTTGCCCTCAGAGCTTGGCTATTTGCAAGAGGAGCGGAGGGGGGGTAGGAAACTGCCACGTGCAGTCAGGTCCTGGCTGGGTGGTGGGCAGTCGGGGCGCAGGGGGGAGCAGCTTTTCTGCGTAAGAGTTTGGCGGGGAGGGAGGACAAGTCTTGGAGGAGAACGGGGAGAGATCAGGGCAGGAGGAAGAGGGGTTCAGGGGACGCTGAGGTTTGTAGCAATGCGAGGGGCTGGCGTGGGACACTGAGGGGGTGGCAGCGTGCCCCTCGCTGGGGGCTTGCCCTGTCCATAACGCGCTTCCTAACCCCTCACGCTTGCCGCCTCG